ATATATATATATATATATATATATATATATATATATATATATATCCTTTCTCTGAGGATCTGACAAATATATCCTCTCTCTGAGGATCTGACAAAGTGAGGTAGGCCTGCAGGAAGCAGGTTACCAGGACCAGCTCAGAGCTGAGGTCTCCTTGGCTTCCTTTGAGCAATTTGCAGAGCTGTTCACCTCTGGCTCACCTTTCCATTGTTGGTGGTTTGGTCCCACAAGGGTTGGTTGAAGGGGGTCTCCCTGCAGCCTCAGCCTATGGGGCCGCTAACCATTCTTCTTATGCTTGTGCTCTCCCTGCATAGCAGGCTCCTGTGGAGGAGACTCTGTTCTTCTCCATGATCATGGCCTGGCAGGAAGCAGGGGTGAAGTGGACATGTTCTGGATCTAAACACATTAAGGTCTGGGTCCCAGGAGAAAAGCAGAGGACTGTGGGCTTTGGTACAGACAGAAAGGTTTTTGTAAAGGTTTCCCATAGAACTGAATCACCGTGCCCCCTGTCCCCACAATGTTACAGCTTTATACAAAAACGACCCACCCATAGATCCACCCCTTGAAGGCTGGAAGAAACCACCAGACCAGCTGCTCCTCTGAGGGGAGCTGCAGTTAGGGAAGGTGACATCGCCCCCACTGTGCAAGGTGGTGGTAAGAAGTGAGCCAATACAGGGAGTCTCCTCCTTGGCCCCTGGCCTTCTTTTGAATGCCCTTTGTTCTTGGAGCTGTGCGTCATTGTAACGCTGTTTGCTGAAGAAGGGCCCGGATGCCCTCTGGTATTCGGCTTTCTCAGGCTGTCCTCATATAAGGGAACCACCCACCGTATGAAGAAGTAACAGCCCCCAATCTAGCCTGGCTCTGCCCTTGCCCCAAGGTTGTGCATCACTCAGAGGTTACATCTTCTTCCCAGGAGCACAACTCTGCAGTATGCAGACTTTCTCCTTTTGTGACAAGACACAAGCCTTCTCAGGGGGTTACCTAGACTCTGGACTTGTTAGAAAGGTGGTGAAGATGCCCCGTATTTCCACAAAAGGGCATGGAATGAGGTGAGGCGACCACTCGTGTTATGTTGTTACTCATCCACTCGGGCAAAGGGAGATGGGGGCAAGTCTCACGGAGGATGCATAGAACACAGTTTGGAAATCATTCTAATATGATCACAGGGCCATGTGGGGATAGCCGCATGGTAGTCCTCTCTAAAGACATTTTGAAGCATTGGTGCATGTTTCAGTTTTCCTGGATCAGGAGAGTCTGGCAGGTAGTGGAGGCACACACTGCAGGACAGAAATGGGCAGATCTGTGAGTTTGAGTCCATTCTGGTGTTATGGCCCGGCTTGTCTCAGCTTTAACCCACGACTGCCATGAGGTTCTACCTTAGTGGGGGAGCGTGGACCTGAAAGCTCCTATTAACCCAGCGGCGACAAAGACCAAACACAGGCATCTTGTCATCTTCAGAGAACTCTCAGTTCCATGTTGTGGGACTAGAGCCATTTGTTTATTGGCCATCTTTTTTGGTGTCTTTTAACCATCCTGCTAATACCACGAGGCAACCATTTCTCTCTTTGTCTTCTCACTCCCTGGCCGCTTCGCTCGTGCTCCCAACCTTCCGTCCTCCTAGTTACTCACATACCACCAGCTCCTCTGCCCAGGTGAGGGCCTATTCAGATGCTTAGGCCCATACAGATGCAAGTAAGAGGCATATTACCCTCAGGCCAGGTAAACAAAAGTAGCCCTGCTGACATTTACAATACAATAGTGGGCCGGAGTTTCCTGGCGCCACTGCTGACAGCCAGAACCTGGGACCCGATATTCGGTCCCCCACAGTCTGGTCTATATGCAGAATTTCAGGCCAGCTAGGGCTGTACTTCAAGACAAACTGACTCTGAAATCCAACCTGCCCTTGTGTGTCCTGCGTATCCTTGCCCCCACCCCAACCCCAGTGATGCTTTCTTTTATTGCCTGTTAAGTGGTGACTTAAAACCAAGATGAAGAAAAGATAGACCTGACTATGTAATTTTGTCTCCTTTGTATGAGAAAGAGAAAAAGAATCAAAAGCTAACTGAAAACTTAGGGAAATGTTTTCAATTCTCACCATCAGGGCTAGTAATCAATGAGAAGATAATTCAACAGCTCAATTTAAAAAACAAAGGCAAAATAGCAGGTGTTTTAGAGGTTTTAGAGAAAAAGAAATCAAAACAGTGCTTAAGTGCAGGGAAAGGTTCTTACCATGATAATAGAAAGAAAAACTACTTTGAAAGAATACCTGGCAGCAATGCGGAAAATTAGGCTATTTAGGGACTCTTTTCTTGGGGACTTTGCAGTGAAATAAAGACTTTAGTATATCTGTTGCTAGTAGGAATCCAAAATGGTAAAAACAACCTATATAGAAAATAACTAGAAAACCACAAAGGAGCTATAAATGCCTTCTAGTTTTTGTTTTTATCCAGAAATCTCACCCTGGGAAGTTTACCTCGTAGGTACAGTTGCATACAAATGAAATTTTTCACACTTGGGAGGCTGAGGTTGAAAGATTGCTGTGACTTTAAGGTTAGCCTAGTCTATAGAGAAAGACCTTGCTTGTCTCAAAAAGTCCAGGAAGCTTCAGAGTGAAAACGGTTTAAATGAGTGGAATAATGGTGTCACTTCAGTGTGCTCTCTCACACTCACTGTTAGCCCCGGGAAGAAGGAGCTGCAGAACTGCATGGGTGCATGCGACCTTTTGTTTAACAGTTGGAGCCAGGCTTAAGAATTAGCTAAAGAGAATCACAGTGGTGCTCTGAACTGGCTGCCAGGCAAAGGGGAGGCAGTCTGTCTCATCAACAATGGCAGATCTTACAATTCTACTGTAAGCCCAAGCAAAAAAGCAAGTCACTTTTATCATTTGGAAGATGGTAAAGTCTATTCTTTTTTTCCCCATTTTAATTTTGATCTGTTTTTTCACCTGTTGGTTCTCATCCAATCCCTTTCTCTAGCAATGATTTATCATTAAGCCAGAGTTTCCTTTTAATGAAGTAGCTGGGTAACTTAATATCATCTGGCCTTGGAGATAATAGTACCATGTGTCTTAGTGTCATAATTTTTGATGGTGTTATTGTCAGTTTGCTCATCAGGGCATTGAGACCAAATGTAAAAAATTAAAAATAATATCTATCTATCTATCTATCTATCTATCTATCTATCTATCTATCTATCTATCTATCTATCTATCTATCATCTATTCTTTTATTCTGTTGCTCAATAATCCATTCATCAATTCATTATTTTTTTTTTTTTTTTTTTTTTTTTTTTTTTTTTTTAACCTGTGCAAACAGCATAGCTCAATTGGGCAGAAATCCGATTGTGGTCATTCATACATATGGACAGCAGGGGGCAGCCTTTCCTTATTTAATTTCTTTTTTGTTTTCTTTTTCTTTTCTTTCTTTTTTTGGGGCGGGGGCAGGGTGTCACCTTGTAGCTCTCACTGACCTGGACTCACTGTGTAGAATAGACTGTAATGAAACTCACAGAAATCTTCCTGCCTCTGCCTCCTTGATGCTGGGATTAAAGGCGTGTAGCCCTAAACTGATTTTTCACTTTATTCTTTTGTCCTGAGAAATTACCGTTTGGGCTTAGCCATCAGAGGGGATAAGAGGAGTGTGCAGACTACTGGCGGGGGCAGGAAAGGAGTGTTCTTAGAGGTGTGTGTTTGTGGTAAGGGGGCGAGGTGGGGAGTCACCCACCAGCTTTCTATACCAGGACCATTCGTGAGAATTTTAGAATGTTGGTGGGTTTCTCTCAGCCCATCCTACCCCAGAGCCTTTCTCAGGGGCTAAACATGAAGAAATTAAAATGAGTTAGCATGTGGTAAAAAGGTTGAACTACTCAAGACTCCTTATTCGAGTTCTGGGGCTGTAGCACCTAGCTGATGCTCTTGTTTTAGGGAAGCCCATCCCTGGGGCCCATAAGGTCACTTTTTATGACTAGGGGACTTGGGCAAATTATGAATCCATTTAAGCCATAAATATCCTTATATGTCAGGGTCATGATAGTAAAAGTGTCTATTTTAGGCAGTTGCGGGCCTAAGTGAGATAATTCATGCAAACACAGCAGAGAGCGGTTTATTTTATTTTATTGACAAGTCTTCTGTTTTACAGACCTTTCTGGTCGTTCACCACACAGCCCAGGCTTGGCTAATCACTAGTCTGGAACAATCCTTTTGCCCCAACCTTCCTATTGCTGGGATTATAGTGTGCACTAATGCACCAGGCACCTAGGAGCAGTGGAGCACACTGGTTCTTAGGAGTCGTCATGATGACAGTGGCCTGGAGGGTTGGATAATGTTACTGAGCCCACCCCAGGATTTCTTTCTTTTTTTTATTTTTTCGAGACAGGGTTTCTCTTTGTGGCTTTGGAGCCTATCCTGGCACTCGCTCTGGAGACCAGGCTGGCCTCGAACTCACAGAGATCCACCTGCCTCTGCCTCCCGAGTGCTGGGATTAAAGGCGTGCGCCACCAATGCCCAGCCCCACCTCAGGATTTCTTACTCAATAGTTGCAGAGTAGAGTCCAGTGTTTCCCTTGCTCCTAAGTCCTGATGATCCTGGTGGTACTATTTATTCAAGGACACTCCTTTAGAGGCAGTATCCACTCCTCTTTAATGTTCTATTTATTTAATCATTGTGTACTTACTACATACCAAGTTTAGTTTAATCACTGGTATTGGGGTGATGAAGACAAGATTTCTTTGTATTTCAAAATGTTTATTATTTATTATGTAAACAGTGTCTGCCTGCATGCATGCCTGAGCACCAGAAGAGGGCACCAGATCTCATTACAGATGGTTGTGAGCCACCATGTGGTTGCTGGGAATTGAACTCAGGACCTCTGGAAGAGCAGCCAGTGCTCTTAATCTCTGAACCATCTCTCCAACCCCCGAAAACAAGATTTCTTGACAAATGATTCAAAGTCAGGGCTGGGGAGATGGCTCAGTGGTTAAGAGCACTGGCTGCTCTTCCAGAAGACCTGGGTTGAATTCCCAGCACCCACGTGACAGTTCACAACTGTCTGTACGCCAGTTTCAGGGGAGCTGACAACTTCACACCAGTGAACACAAAAGACAACATTAAGTAAATTGTTTAAAAATATTCTGTGCCATTAAAGTGTGGTTTTTCTTCTTTTATACCAATTATTTGTAAGTTTGATTCTTTCATAGTGTTCCATTCTTGGAGTTTTTGGATTTGACATTTTCTATGACTGAGTTCCCTTGTCCTCAGTATCTGAGAGTCTCTTCCATTTGATCCATGCATCTGTGAGGCTTTCCTCTGAATTTCTGTTTGAATTTCTGAATTTTGATTTCTTTTCTTCCTTTTTTTCTCCTGGTGAAATTTGTAGGTTTTTTTTCCCTTGTATTGAAAATGACTTTTTTCTCACATTATATATCATAATCATATGGTTTCCCTTCTTTTTACTTCTTCCAGCTCCTCTCCACAACCCCTCAGGTCCAGTGTCATCCCTTTCTGTCTCTCATTATAAAGCAAATATGTTTCTATGATGCAATGATAAAATATAATGCAATAAGATAAAACAAAAGTCAACACATTGGAATTGGCCAAAACAAACAAACGGAAGGAAAAGAGCCCAAGGAGAAGGCACAAGAAACAGGCTTACTCATTTCTACATCCAGGAATCCCATAAAAACACTAAACTGGAAGCCATGAAATATACACAAAGGTAAAAAGAGAAGAGAAAAATATAAATAAAAATGAGAAATAAAAAGATAAAATTTTTAAAAAGAAGGTCCTTCTAAGAGAGACATACCTGGTTCCACAGAGAAGGGGAAAGGGACCAAGTTCTGAGCTAATTGAGAGCATGCAGGGAGGGGAGAGGAGAGGGAGCTAGAAGAAAGAGAAGAGACAAGGAGGGAAGAGGAGGACATGAGGGAGCAGGAAGATTTAGTCAGGGGAAGAACAGAGGAGAGCAAGATAAGAAATATCATAATAGATGGAGCCATTGTAGGTTTAAAGAGAAATCTGGCACTAGGGAAATGTCCAGTTTGACCCCAGCTAACAATCTAAGCAATAGTGGAGAGGCTTCCTTAAATGCTCTTCTCTGATAATGAGATTGATGACTCCCTTATCCGCCATCCTAGAGCCTCCATCCAGTAGCTGATGGAAGCAGAAGCAGACGCCCACAGCTAAACACTGAGCTGAACTCTGGAACCCAGTTTCAGAGAGGGAGGAGTGATGAGCAAAGAGGTCAGGACCAGACTGGAGAAACAGCTGACCTGAACAAAGGGGAGCTCATGGACCCCAGACTGATAGCTGAGAAACCAGGATAGGACTGTTCCAGATCCCCTGAAGAAGGAAGTCAGTTTGGAGGTCTGGGCAATCTATGCAGCCTCTGGTAGTTGGTAAGTATTTATCTCTAGTACACGAATGGGCTTTTGGAACCCATTCCACACACTGGGATACTCCCTCAGCCTAGGCACACGGGGGAGGGGAGGTCTAGGCCCTGCTCCAAATGATATGACAGACTCTGAGGATTCCCCCATGGAAGGCCTCACCCTCCCTGGGGAGCAGAAAGGGGTTGGGATAGGGGTTGGGGGTAGGGGAGGAGGGGAGGGGGAGGAAACTGGGATTGACAAGTAAAACAAGCATGTTTCTAATTTAAAATTGGTCTAATTACAAGTATAAAAATAAAAAGAAGAAGGTCCCTAACCCAACCTTATGAGACAAGGAACCTCCAAAGATGCTATTGAGTTCATCTCCTGTTGGCCGTCTACTGGTGGACATGCAGCCTGCTCTTAGCCGTAGGTTGTTTCCCCAGTGAGACTCCATGGGAAGAATCCAAATCTTTAGTTGCGAGTGGCTGTCAACTGGAGATAACTTCTGGATTAGGGCTGGGGGCATGTGTCAGTTTTTCTTCTCAGCTCTAGAACCCCATTTGCTGTAGACACAGGAAGGTCCTACTCATGCTCCCCAGTTTCTGTGAGCTCATTATGTACACAGATCATGTTGACTTAGAGGACCTTGCTTCTTGGTGTCCTCCATATCTTCTGGCTTTACCCTCAGTTTATAATTGTCCTTTCAAGGTCTGTGAAGAATGGTGTTGGGATTTTGATGGGGATTGCATCGAATCTGCAGATGGATATTTGTAGGATGACCATTTTTATTTTATTAATCCCACTAATCCATGAGCACAGGAGATCTTTCAATCTTCTGATATCCTTTTCAGTTTACCCTTTTCAATTTCTTTCTTCAATGTCTTAATTTTTTTATCATATAAGTCTTTCAATTGCTTGGTTAGAGTTACCCTCAGGATATTTTATGTTGTTCGAGGTTATTGTGAAAGGTGCTGGGAATTGAACTCAGGACCTCTGGAAGAACAGTCAGTGCTCTTAACCTCTCTCTGAGTCAGATACTCAAATGTTGTTTCTTAGGTCCATTTTCTTGGTTTATAATAGAAGGTCTTATTTTCTACATCTCTGGTGATTGAAAGTTTTGCTGGATATAGTAGCCTGGGATGGCATCTGTGGTCTCCTAGAGTCCGTACAACATCTTCCTAGGACTTTATGGCTTTTAGAGTCTCCACTGAGAAGTTAGGGCCATTATATAAATCTGTCTTTATATGTTTCTTGTTTTTTCTCCCTTTCGGCTTGTAATACTCTTTCTTTCTTCTGTATACACAGGGTTTGATTGTATGTGTCGAGGTGACTCTTCTGGTTCAGTCTAGCTGGTGCTCTGTATGCTTCTTATATCTCGACAGGTGTCTCCTTATTAGGTAAGGGAAATTTTCTTCTCTGATTTTGTTGAAAATATTTTCTGTGTCTTCCTCTATTTCTATTATTCTTAGGTTTGGTCTTTTCATATTGTCCCAGATTGCCTTGACATTTTGTTTCACTATTTCTTCTGTTGTGTCTTCAACACCTGCAGTTCTCTGTTCCATCTCTTATATTCTGTTAGCAAATCTTGTCTGTGAGGTTCTTGTTAGAGTTTCTAAATTTTTATTTCTAGATTTCTCTCATTTTGGTTTTCTTTATTGATTCTATTTCTTCATTCAGGTCTTAAACTGTTTTATTTATTTTCTTCCACTGTTTTCATAGATTTCTCTAAGGGATTTTTTTCATTTCCTTTTAAAGGACTTATCTCATATTCATAAAGTGTATTTTAATGTCTTTTTCTTGTGCTTTAGCTATGTTGAATTAGTCTGAAATAGAGTAAGGTTGCTGAATTCTAGTGAAGACATATTGTCCTGGATGCTGTTGATTGTGTTTTTATGCTGCTGTCTAGGCATCTGTATTTGGAAGATTGTAAATCCAGGTACTGACATCTATTCTTATTTTTGTTGGGTGAGTGTTTAATTTGCTGATTTCTGTTGCCCTGCCTGGCTCTTAGGAGAGTGTGGTGATTGTATGCTGCCTGGTAGGAAATTCCTCTGGTATCCTGACAGGTGTGGCCACTGGGTTTCCCTGTATTTTATATTTTGTTTTTCTAAGTATTGGAAGCTGACACTTAGAAATGGGCATGGGCCGTGGGGAGGACTGAAGGGGCCCACAGGAGAGAGGAAATGCAGAAATTCACCAGTATCTGCTTAGTCCCCTGGGAATGGGGCAGAGAAGGAGAGGCCACAGCAGGTGTCTGCTGCAGAGCTGGGATGAAACCGGGCATTGGGTTTGGAGGAGAGGAGGGAGAGTGGAAATCTGAAGCTCACCTACCTGCTTCTCTGGCATACTTGATTCTCTGGCAGTCATTGCTCGTGGGATCCCAGAGAAGCCTGCTGGAGTCAGGGTCTGGGATAACAGTGGGGAGGAAACTTGGAGGAGAAGTTCTGGATTATCTGTTGGAGATGAGGGCAGGGAGAAGGGGGAGGCTACAGAGATGGAGGTGAGAATGCCTGCTTCCTTGGCCATGGTGGCCTGTGGTTTCCCAGAGAATCCTTGCTGGATGTGGGAACTAAGATAAAGAGGAGAGTGGGGGAAGAAAGGTTGAGGAGTAGATCTTTGTGTTTCACTAGACATGAGGTCAGGGAAGGCGATGAGGCTACAGCAGGTGGCCTGCTACAGTGCTGGGGATGAGACTGGAGATTTGCTTTGGAGGAGAGGTGAAGATCTGCAGTTAGGCTATTTGCTTCTCTGGCAGAAGTGGTCTGCAGGTTGGTGGGGCGTGTCTGCTAGAGTGTGGGGCTGGGATAAAGCAATCAGTCTTCATGGGGAGGAAACCAGGAGGGGAAAGTCTACTCAATCCAGTAGAGAAGGGGACAGAGTTGATCTGATGCAGAGGTGGGCATGGGGCTGGAGGATTGGATTTGGAGGAGAGGAGGAAGAGGCGAAAATCTGTAGTTAGCTTACCTACTTCCCTGGCCAGGGGGAATTCCTGAACTTCCTTCAGAGATTCTCCCTCTCCATTAAATTCTGGTTTCATATGCTGAATTCTTCTTATTTTATTTTATTTTTTTGGCAGTAAAATCTCAAATTTATTTAACATTTTGCATCCAGTTTTTTTGTTTTTAGTTTTGAGTAAAACAGCAAGCTGGCCACACATTAATGTGTTTATTTTACTTTTGGATAAGTACCAAATACTGACACAATGCTGAATACACAATGTTGCTGAATAGGTATAAAAACTTGGTTGTGTTACTGTGTCCTTAGCACTATTTAATATCCAACACACTTTAGAGGCTATGCTGAAAAAAGAAAAGTTAGGGGGCCCAAGAACTTCAGGTACCTGTCCCGAGTCCCTGCTGTCCTGCTTTTAAGACTGCTAGATCCTTGGTGCTTCCGGAGTTCTCCCAACACAGCATGGTATCAACAGATGATTATGGATACGGGTCTCTCCTCTTGCTTAAGTCTATGCATTGGAACAAAACAGCATTTCCAGTTGACAAAAGGATCCACAGGTAATGTGCTGTCTCTTATATCTGAACTCTGAGTGACAGACTGAGGACCTGAAGTGCTACAAAGGTAAACCAGGTACCAAGAAAGCACAAGATGAGCCTGGGCCAGAGTGCTTGTCTAGACCTCACAGTGTAACCAGAGTGGGTTGGGAAAGGAAAGTAGAGGATGGTCTTATTCATATATGATGCTATCCTAAAGGCCTGTACCAAGGCAGTGACTCTGGCCATGAAATCCGAAAAGCCACCAATAAAACCATTAGCATAGACAATGACAGACAGTAACTCTTGAATGCTGACATAGGCAGGTCATTGGTACATAGAAGCCCCATGCATCTCCAGGCTTTGTGAGATAGCTGGCTCTCCCAAAAAACGTAAGCAAAGACTGCAGTCCAAATTAACATGACTGTCAAGAAATAAAATGACTTTTGCCACTAAGATGAACTCTAGTTGACTCTAGACAGACTTAAACAGTGATCTACACAAGTTAGTAAGCAAACTGGATAATGCAAAAAACCCGGAAGTGAAAGAAACGATTCGTGTGAGCCAGCAAATGTGGCATTTTGTAAACCAAGAACTACGAAGTCCCTGAAGTAGGACAGAATGGAAATGTTTGCCAACAGCAGATCAATAAATGCTAGTGAAAAACAGAAATGCTCCATAAAACTCCAACAGGTGTCTTTCCTTTTCATTCCTAGGATGGGATATGTAATAGTATTTTCCCGAGTATGATCAAGAACAACAGACAGTTAGCATCTAGGAGCTGCTTTGACGGGTGTAACAGCTGCTGAAAAGAGCAGTTCTCTGAAGAAAGAGCTGTCCTTTTTCGTTAGATTTCAAGACGATCTGGTGAATACATAGGCAAGAAACAAATCCACTTCGTTTTCTTTCCTCTCTTCTTGACTTGAGGTTATTGTTTTCATTTTATGTCCCTCGACTGCATTACTGTTGGCTCCTTGTGTGAGTAACCTCTCAGAACACAATTAAGCATCTTTAGCTCTTTTTGGGGGAGATGAGTGATGAGCACTTCTCCCCAGCCATCAGCCAGAAGGATATCATTGCAACCTTAGCTTGCTCTCCAGATGCCAACACCCACACCCCCCCCCCCCCCCCCCCCCCCCCC